CAGTTGGGCCTTCCCTAAACTGGTTTTTCAAAAGCCAGTGAATAGAGAAGACTTTTGTTTCTCTCTCTAAAAAATAAGTCAGCTCCATTGTTTTCCTCCTCCTCCGGTCCTTGACAGAATTTTCTCCAGGGTTTGCTCTGGACTCTGCATGTTGAGATGCCCCAGAGGGCAAAGGTCAGAGCGGTGGTGCTGTTGAGGGTCAGAGACCAGCACACAGAGGGGCGGAGGCCCAGCACTTAGGGGACCCCAAGACAGCTGGGCTATGATGGGGTGGGGGTGTTAAGAAAGGAACTGTGTCTTTTTAGTAAACATCCGTAACAAGGTCCAGTATTTACCGAGCACCTACCGTGTCAGGCAGCACAGCACAGAAGTCAAGAACCTGAACTTTGGAGCCTATATCAGTTAGTATCACTTAGCTTTTGCTGCGTAACAAACAACCCCAAAACCAAGTGGCTGAAAGCAACAACCATTTGCACAACATCGTGAGAGTACTCGATGTCACTAATGGTAAATTTTATGTATATTGTACTACAATAAAAAAAATTAAAAACATTTTAAAACTACAACAACCATTTATTTGGCTCACGATTCTGTGGGTCAGCAATGTGGGCTGGACTCAGCTGTGCGGTTCTTCTAGTCCTCTATATTCTTCAAATATAATAGATGTTACAAATTGGAGAAGCTAGGCAGATGGGCATTCACTGTAAAAATCTTTCCGCTTTGCTCTATTTCAGCAGGTTTCTGGTAAGCGTTGGAGAAAAGGCCTTCACCCTTGTACTTGATGGGCAGCCTGCTTGGGTTCACTCTTGGCTTCCACTGTCTGGGTTGGTCTGGACCCTCTGTCCTCTGGCACACAGCTGTGGGCTGGAGAGCTCCAGGCCCTCACCACAGGCTCCCGCCCTCTGCAGCCCACCTAGGAGGAGCTTGTCCAGCTGTGCGAAATAGATGAACACCTTATTCAAAACCAGTTGCTTTTGTTCCAGGGCCTGAAACCCTTAGAGCTGACACCAGGGCCTGGTTGGGGCCAGCCCTGAATAATACGGACCATCCCCCGCCCCAAACCGACCCCTGATATTCTTGCACCCCTTGTCCTGTTCCACCCTCATAACCGCCTCAGGCAGTAGGCTCTGTTACGACCCCCATTAACAGATGAAGAAACTGAGGTTCGGCAAGGCTAAGGAATATGCTAGCAAAGGACAGAGTCAGAAGGAGAGCCCAGCTTAGAGTCCAAGGTCTGGGGCTCAGGTAAATTTTCCAGGGGCAGGCAGTGCACTGAGCAGAGAAGTCAGAGCACTGGCAGAGGGCATCTTGAGGGTTTGCCCTGTTTAGTAGGTCGCTCACCTGGAGCCCGGGTGACAGGCAGGTACAGCCCAGGGAGCCGCTCAGCTTGGGGAGGTGCTAACAGGACAATTAACACTTGTGCTGGGGCAGTCTGGGGACTCAAACCTGGACGTCCCGTGTCCCTCCACTTGACAGCTGGGTACAGCTTATTGTCTATCCTCATGCAGGGGATTTTAATTACACAGATGATGAGGCAGAAGGTGTGGTTGGCTGTCCTGCTTTCCCAGGTGAAGCAGTGAGTTTCTCTGGGGGGAAAAGTGTGGATAGATGCTCAGCACGGAGCGTAATGCCCAGTGAGTGTTTGAGTGAGTGAGTGGCGAGAGCTGAGAGTTTTGCTTGGCTCGGGGACAGGGATGCCCTTCCCCTCTGGTCCGTCCCCTCTCCCACCCAGCAGGCTCTCCCTCCGACCCTGCGGCCCCAGTATCCTGTGAGGCCCCGTGGCAGAGCAGCTGTCCTCCCGCTACCCGAGCTGGGGACACAGGTTCCAGCCTCCCGTTAAACTGTGGACTTCCCTGCAGAGGGCTACCCTGACCCCGTGCTCCTCTGAACGGGCTATGGACGGCCATCCTGTCAGCTGGGTGTCAGGCTGGAGAAGCCCAGCGAAGTCCTCAGGCCCCACAGCCAGAGCTGGGAGACCAGGCGCGTGGCCCTGACCCAGTCCCGGGACATGTGGCCGAGGCCCCCTACACTGGCCAGCCAGCGCCGGCTCTGCTGGGAGAAGGGGCCATTGCTCCAATTCCTGGCAGACTGAGGTCTGGGCACGCCCTGTAAATGCTCACCAGATCCCTCTGAGGAGAGCCCTGAACCGGGACAAAGGCCTTGTGTTGCTTCTTCACCAGCGTGGGCTTGGGGCCAGGGAGACAGTGGGTGCAGGGCAGACCTCTCATGCCGTAATCCGCCTCCCCAGGACAGTGCAAGGGTGCACACGTGTCCAAGCAGCACCTGTGTGCAGACAGGAAACCTGGCACCCGTATGTACGTGGTGCACGTGTGTGAGTGTGTGTGCACACGCGTTTCCGTACCTGCGTGTGGACGTGCATCTGTTGTACCCAGGCGTGTGCACGCTGTGTAAACGTGCCCTCGTGGGTGTGTTTGGCCAGGTCCGTGACTGTCCCCTCCTCCAGCTCCCCCTGCCTGGGTGGTGCTTCCTGGAGTCCTGGCCCTGACAGACCCCCCCCCGGGCGCCCGCAAAACCAGCCTGGAGTTGGAAAGAAGGTGCCAGAACTGGCAGTGAGACTCACCGATGCACCTCCAGGTTGGCCTGGAACACAAGCCCCTTTGTGCCACCTCCTGGGCCCCTTCCTCCGAGAGCCACTTGCCAAGGGCTCGGCCTCTTCCACCTCCACCTCCGTTGCGGCTCCTCCTGGGGCCTTGGTGGCCCCTGCCCGCAGCTCTGCAGCCCTGCTGCCTCCCCCTTCCTGGACCCAGCCCTGCCGCTCTCTCAGACCTGGGGTGCTGGGAGGGCGAGGGGGGCTGGAGAGCAGTGGGGTCCCAGCAGGGCACCCACGTTTCTGCAACAGCCAAAGCCCTAACCCAGCTCTGCATGAGAACAGCGTGGGGCACAGGACAGAGGGACATCCTGGGGAGGTCTAACGCTTCTCTTGGAGCCCTGGTGGCGCAGTGGTTAAGAGCTCGGCTGCTAACCAAAAGGTCAGCGGTTCAAATGCACCAGCCACTCCTTGGAAAGCCTGTGGAGCAGTTCTACTCTGTCCTGCAGGGTCGCTATGAGTCAGAATCGACTCAACCACAACAGGTTTCGTGTTTTCGGTTTGAAAGCGTCCCTCTGGCTCCAGGCTCCCTGAGAAAGGCTGGTCTGTAAATGGAGTGCCCTGCCCCCACTGGGAGGCCCTGGGTGGCACAAACAGTTAAGCACTCAGCTACTAACTGCAAGGTTGATGGTTCGAACTCACCCAGAGGCACCTCAGAAGAAAGGCCTGGTGATCTGCTTCCAAAAGGTCACAGCCTTGAAATCCCTATGGAACAGCTCTCCTCTGCTTACACGGGGTCACCAGGGGTCAGAATCAACTTGATAGCAACCAACAACAACAACAAAACCCCCACTTCTGTCCCCCAGCACGCGGACAAGGATGCGTTTGATCTGGGAGAGGGGCTCGGTTTTGACCAGCAGCCAGCAAACATGTTCTCTACTGGGTCAGAGGGCACACACTTTAGCCTTCGTGGGCCACTCGAGCCCCCATCTAACGCTGCCCTTGTATCGCGAAAGTACTCAGGTGCCACACAGACACATCAATGAGCGTGTTACTTGTCGGCGCTGAAGTCTGGCGCCCAGATCGTCCTCCTGTGTCACGAAATACTACTCCTCTTTGAAACTTTTTTCCAAGCACTGAAAACTGTGAGGAGCGTTCTTAGCTTCTGGCTGTGTAAAAGCAGGCAGTGGATTACTTCACAACGAAGATGAGAAGGCAAGGGGGCAGGGAAACAAGATTAATGGAAACAGAACAACCAGAAAATGTTGATGCGTCATGAAGAACGTGACCAATGTCACTGGACACTTTGTGTGGAAACGGTCTAACAGGGACCTAACCCGCTGTGGAGACCGTCACAGAAAAACACCATAAAACATTATTAGAAAAAACCAGGCCCTGTGCTAGCTTTGGTCCTGGGCCGCCTTTGGCCCTCGGCCGTAGTTTACTGACCCTGGTATAGATGACCACAGTCCCGGTGAGGCGCGACATCCCCCCCGACACTGTCCCTCCACATGAGCAGCCTTGCCTGTCCTGGGGAGCCAGCCCTTCCAGAGTCAGCCTGGAGCGTACAAGCCCCTTCACTGCACCCCACACTTTTACTTTAACACACAGGGGCATCTGGACACCCCCGTCTGCCCCACACATCTCCCCCGGGGCAACACGTCAGCTTAGCCAGCGTGTTCTGCATGTCCACACCTGTGTAGAACTCCGTCATAGCGACCGCATCAGAATTGATTTAATCAGTCCCCCCGTATGGGCACGTCTCTAATTGTTGGTGATCTCAAAGGAAGCTGCAAAGAATAACTCCGGACCCATGCCTGGCGCCGTCAAAGTCTGGGGAGCGTAGGTTGGGACGTTTACATGGAGACTCCCACCGAGCCCTCAAAACAGCCTGGGGGTGGGTTCTGTGACTGTGCCCATTTTACACGTGAAACGATCGAGGGACAGAGCAGTGAAGACACTTGCCTAAGATCATGTGCCTAATAAGTAGGGAAGCAGATTTGAACCCAAGTCTGACCCCAGCGCCTGTGCCCGCCTCCACCCCCTCTGTGGGGGATTAGGACCGTGGGGCTACCCCAAAGGCCCGGGAGGGCTCTCGGACAGCCTGGCCTTCAGCCCGTGACAATGCAGCGCTGTTTCCCATCGAGTTGCTCTAGCCCCTCATGGTTGGGCATCTGCTGGTCTTTCTCTCTCTTCTCTCCAGACCCCCATTTCACTACCCCCAGCCCCTGGTTCCTTCCCAGTGGGGTGGCTTTGGGGGCCATGGAGCCATCTCCAGACACACCAGCCCTCCCAGGCCAGCGTCCAAGTATTATGCGAACAGGGGCTTTTGTCCCCTAACACAGGACTTCCTCCCAGGGGCTCAGGAGAAGAGGACAGGGGTGAAACGGGAAGGAAGTGCCACACCAGCAGGGCTGCCCGGACGCCACGCCTTCGGCTGCTCTCGGCCTCTGCCATCACGGCGCTGACTGCACTGCCGGCATCCTCCTAACCAGAGCCCGGGACCCCCTTCGGGGCCACTCACCACTGTGACGCCCAGCCTTGCACTGAGGAGGCGCCGTGGACATCTCTCACACGGCGAACAGGTGAGGCCAGCCTCGGGGCACCTCTCACACCTGGCGCCCAACACCCAGAGCAGGACCATCCGCTCCGGCTCTCGAGGGCAGTGGGAGCTCAGCCTGGGGCTCGGTGAAGCCCCCTGGACCAGGCGTAGCCTACACCTGAAGCCTGGAAAGGTCCACGAAGCAGGAACCCTGGCCCCACGGGGCCACCGTGCACACCTGCGCTGCCACCCCCGTGGGGATGACACCTGCCTGGCCCAGAGATGACAGTGGTATGCCTGTCACTGTGCCAGCCTGTTTGTCTAGGCTGCGGGACACATCCGGAAGCCTCCCCCAGGCCCGGGGATTACCCGAGGAAGAGCCCCCATGCCCAGCACCTTCCTGTCCCCTTGGTGGCCCTCACTCCTTCCTTCTGGACAGGGGCCCACGGGTATAAAGGCCAGGTGGAGGGCGCCCAGGCACAGCAAGGACTCCCCAGTCCAGATCTCACCTGGCCAGGTAAGATGTGCCTGCTCCCATGGAGGGCCCAGCAGGGTCTGGGGGTTGGGGGGCCTCGGGTTACCATCCGTCTGGCCTCTCTTCTCCCCAAGAACCTCGCGATCTGCCGTCCAAAGCCATGCTGCTTCTGCTGACCCTCGTCGTCCTGGGGACCCCCACCTGCTGGGCAGGGAGTAAGTCGGCACCTCTGCAGCCCACCCCCTGGGCCACCCCACCTTCTCCAGCCTCTAGGGTCCCCCCCACCCCGTCACAGGCTGACTCTAGCTGCAAGGACTGCCCACCTGTGGGAGGGGGTGCATCTGCAGTCCGGGCAGAAAGCCTTACTGTTCCCCGTGTGGCTTTCCTACCTGCGCAGCCATGTATGGGTACGGAGGAGGCAAATACTTCAGCGCTTCTGCAGGCAGTGAAGATGAAATAACGGGCATCCGGTTCTGTGTAGGTCCAGCTGGGCTGTTTAAAAGGTGAGTGGGAACAGGGGACTCCTCCCATGGTCTCGGGAACTTGGGGGCAGGGGGCTTGGAGCCCCTTCTCCCGGCCTCTGGGTCTGCTCCTCGTGACTATTTGGAGCCAGGTGATTCCTTGGAGTCATGGATCCACCCACCTTCACCTTGCCATTTACCCCTTTGCCCCAGCCAGTGTCCCTCACAATCACCAGCCCCAGTTCTTTCTCCCTCCATGTTTGAGTCCTGCAATTGCCTCCTGGGTTGATCTACAGAGGGTTAAAACCAAAACCCACTGCCGTCGAGTCAATTCTGACTCATAGAGACCCTACAGGACAGAGTAGAACTGCCCCCACAGTTTCCAAGGCTGTAAATCTTTACAGAAGCAGACCGCCACATCTTTCTCCAACAGAGAGGCTGGTGGGTTTGAACCACCGACCTTTCGGTTAGCAGCCAAGTGCTTAACCACCGTGCCAACCAGGCTCCTTTAAAGAGGATTAAAGAGTGGCTTCTCCTTACTTTTTCCTTTTGACCCAAACTCAACCCCACCAAAAATGGCTCTTCGGTCCCAGAATACCTGATGGGGAAGTCAGGTGACAGTCTGTCCAGGTTTGGGTCAAATAGGAAAGGATGTGAGGGTCGGAGTGGACCACTGATTGAACACGAATCACCAGAAGTGTGTACAGGGCAGTTCCCCTAATGCTGGGGTGACGTCTCTGCTCCTGGCTGGGGGCAGATTTCTGCTCTGCACTTATGGGGAGCCCAGGGACCCGAGGGAGGGAGTGGGACACAAGGTCTCAACCCCAAAGGAGACAGAGAGCTGGGGGCGCTGAGCGGATGGAGGGGGACCCGCAAGGTGAAGGGAAAGAAGGGAGCAGCCCAGTGGGCGGGCTACAGAAGGGTCATTGCTAGAGGACCCAGGGATGCTGTACAGCCTGGCTCTGGGCGTTCAAAGCTTTGCCTCTCTCCCAGTGTCCAGCTGAGAGTTGGATCCTCTTGGAGCGAGAGACATGGTGCCCCCGGTGGGAATTGCCAGGAGTTCATCCTGTGGCCGGACGAGCACATCGTCTCAGTGTACGGCACCTACGGGCTTTTCCTCCGGTCCCTGGTACTGTACACTGACCAAGGGCGTGTGGCCACGTTTGGGAGCGACAGTGGACAGAGCTTCTTCGCCTACCCTGAAGAGGATGGGCAGGTGCTCACGGGCGTGTCTGGCCAGCACAAGCTCCTGGGCATCTCTGGCCTTATCTTTAAATGGAATTTTCCACCAGGGGAAGCAACAGCTGCTTCCAGAAGTACCACCACTATAACTTAACGAGCGCTCCTGGGCCCCTGGGCAGCCGCAGAAAGGATCCCCCCGCTGAGACATCTGGGGGTGGGTTGACCACAGTGGGGTAATCCCGCCATGACCTCGAATCTGAATCCTCCTATAAATAAAGCTTCTGCAAACAGCGAGGCCAGGTGTGCTCCTTGGGTCTAGGGTGCAACCAAACCCATCTGAACTCGGTGGCGGGGGGTGGGGGTGGCTGGGGGGAGGCAAAGCCCCAGGGGGGATGTCAATGAACTGAGCTGAGGGATGAGGTGGGGGGGTCGGACACCCCGTGCCTCGGTGAGCCTGCCGAGGACGTGGACCTGTCTGTCAGTTGCTGGCATCTTGAAGGAGCTGGGGCTCCATCTGAGGACCCTCCACGCAGCTGGCCTAGACCCACCCAGCTGGCCTTTGCTGACTGAGTCCTGAGCTTCTGAGTGTGAAGGGGCCTCAGGGAAGCCCCCTGGGGCGTCATCACTCACTCCCTCATTCACTCAGTGAACACTTGCCAAGGCCTCCTTCATGCTCTCGCCTGGCACTGGGAATATTCAGAAGGGGTCAGGCATCCAGCCAGGAGCTGCCCCGTGGGGAGACGGATAGAGGAGCAGAGGGGGGCAGCTCGGTGTGGCGTCTGCGTTGATGGCAACACATGCAGGGTGCTGGAGGAAGGCACCTGCCCAGGCAGGGGTGGGAGGTGTGCTTCAGGGAAGCCTGCCTGGAGGAGGTAACGTCTGAGTTGTGCTGTCTTAAAGGATGTGTGAGAATTGGCCAAGTGGAGAGAAGCGAGAGGGCACTCCAGACTGAGGGACTACTCAGCAGAGAGCACGTAGGACAGTGCTTCTCAAAGTGTAGTCCCGGGTCCCCAGGGGGCCCGAGCCCTTCCAGGGGGTGCACGAGGTCAAAATCATTTTCATTATAATCCCGAGGCATGATGTGCTTTTTTCACCCTCACTCTGTCCCGAGTGTGCAGTGCCCCGAGGTCAAGGGGCACGTGATGACATCACCACTCTGACAGATAATAGGACGTGGGCTTGTGTTCTTGTGTTCTGGAAATCCTTCCGTCAGACACATCTTCTACACAGCCCAGCAATTCCGCTCCTATGGCTTACCCCTGAGAAATGAAAACATGTCCACATAAAAATGTGGACACCAGTGTTCACAGCCGCATCATTCACCGTAGAAAAAGCTGAAAACCACACAAATGTCCTTCACAGGCGAAGGGATCAATAGACTGTGGAGCATCCACGCCACAGGATCCCATTCTGCAGGAATGAACCACAGATACACACCACAGCCTGGATGGATCTCAAATGCATTATGCTAAATGCAAGAAGCCAGACTCCAAAGCCTTGGACTGTATGATCCCACTTAGCTGAAATATCTAGAACAAGCAGATGCATAGAGTGGTTCCCCAGGGGAAATGGGGAGAAGGGAGTTATTGCCGAAGGGGTGCTGAGTTTCTTCCCGGGGTAAGGATAAAGTTTTGGAAATGATAGCAGTGATGGTTGCACACCAAGGAGAATGTAATGAAAGCTGCTCAACTGTGCAGTGAAAAATGGCAAATTTTACATTAGATCTATTTTACCACAATAAAATGTTTTTAAATGTTAAAAAAAAAAAAAAAAAAAAAAAGGCCAGGAGCTGAATGCTACCTTCTGTCTGGTGACATTTATAGACGGAAACTCACAGGCAAGTGGGGGAAGGGGTGCTTAGACAGATGTGAAAGGAGATGTACAACCCAGGTTGCTGCTGGGAAGGAGAGGGGGCAGACCAGTGGCAGCTGGCAAAGCAGATGGCAGCATTGTGGGAGCTGGGTCGTCCCTGACGCAGGAGAATTTATGTATGTGGAATGCTTGCTAATGATAAATTAATAGAATAAAGTAGGATTTCAAATACTTTTGTTGAGCACGTACACTGGCTGCTCTTTCTCTGCTTAAACTAATCCCCTTGCCTAAGCTGCTTCCAGCACAGATGGACCCTGTGGGGGATGTAACCATGGCCTCTGGGACATCCACGCCCTAATTCCCAGAACCTGTGACTATGGCACCTTACATGGGGTGCTCGGTGAGTAATGGCCCCCCAGAGATGTCCACGTCCTAACCCCGGAACCTACTTGTTACCCTCCACGGGAGAAGGGCTTTGTGGGTGTGACTGGGTTAAGACTGTTGAGATGGGGAGATGACCCTGGATTATCCCGGTGGGCCCAATGTGGTGACAGGGATGGTCAGGAATGAGATGGTATTGACTTGAAAAGTGACAGTGCTGACCCCATAGAAGTCACTGGTATGGGAGGGGGTGTTGTGGGAGGGGGAGGGGG